ATATATTTCCCCTAAATAAAGAAGAGATAAAACGACCTTTCTCATTTACCTTAAGTAATATTGTTGGCACTTGAAATTTCAGTGATGTGTTTGTTCGTAAACCCAAGTTTTAAAATGATTTTACGAATTATCCAATGAAAATACTCCTCCGAATTTTTTATGTTGGTTGACATGCTTCTTAAAGTTAGATATATTGCAGAAAATTTGCAAAGCATTCACTTACCTATTACAGCATACTTGTTAGCATTACAACTAACAAACCTAACGCGGAAAGAGAGTCGGATAAGGCAGATGCAAAAGCCTTCTCTAACTCGCGTCTCTCGTTCGCCTGCGCTGCTTTTTGTGGTAGTCAATACAAAGAAATAAACCTTTTCAAGTACAAGAATCTTTTATTTAATTTTATTTTAACTTGCCGTAAATATTAAAGTATATAATGAATGGTTTCCGTTTTTAAAACAGGATGTTGTTTCCATACCTGCTGTAGATGATTGACAACCCAAAACTTGATCACAATCGTTAGCATCACAGGAACACTCTTCATTACACTATATTCCACGTAAAATCCACGTGGACATTCCTTACTGCAGTTAATACCGAAACTTCCCACGCACTCTGTAATGCATTGTTATATGTTTAGCAAAACAGAGAGGAGTCTTGCATTCAAAGTTAAGGACCCTCTATACACTGATGAAAATGTTATTGGACTTCAAAAACATTATATACCGTAGAGGAGTGCATATTTAAATCATCTACATCATTTTTAACACAGGTGCTTATTTTTGTTACCCAGGAAAAATCTTCAAAGCCAACGAACTACTTATAGAGAAAAATCGTGTTTGCTTACTCAAATGGGGAAAAACAAGCAAATAAAGATTTAAATTACTCTATCATGGTCTAATATAATGTTTAGAATACTTGAATTAATACGAATTATGTAATACAGTGCAGATACCAAATTATTCTATTTTATATCAAATGGTATCTAACTAAATAAAAGTACCCTGAAATTAGTGTGCAGTGTAAAAAAAACAAAGCTAAAACAAATAAATTATTTAATGTTCACAACAATAAAACATGATTTAGTTTTGAAGTAAAGATTGAGAAATTTAATATGAAATCAAATATTAAAATTATATTTTTATTTGACTTATAATATACAAACAGAGAAAAAAAGTCTTTCGTCCAAAGTACTACTTAGAAAATTATCTTGTTTTGTCGAAAATTAACAACCTTATAATTACCTTGGCACTTATGCTCAGCCTCTGAGTACATGTAGTTTGCACAGCAATAAGAGCTATTCCTGGAATAGAAATATTAGTCTTTCATAAAATTGCAGTATTCAGTATAATAAGCTCTTTAAAAAATGAAAATTTGATGCATCAGTATATACTTACTCCTTGTAACAGACACCATCTGTATAATTCCGTGTACCTAAGTTATAAGGTACAATTGATTATAAATCACAGCTTGTGAATAGTAATTTGATTTTGTGTGTGTGTGTGTGTGTGGAGAGAGAGAGAGAGAGAGAGAGAGAGAGAGAGAGCATACCTAGAATAGCCCCAGATCTTATGACAAGCCTCATTAGAACAGTTACAATGACTGTTACAGGAAGCTCCATAAAACCCGTCAGGACAGGTTTCTGAACAATTCACTCCAAATCTTCCAATACACTCTAAAGAACATACTTTGAAATGAATATTTTCATCCGTTTTTCATACTCATGGATACTCAGGTGAGTAGATTACATATTTCACTTTATTCTTAATTACATTTTGCTATTTCTTTTTATTTGGTATCCTTAATTTATGACAAATTATTTTACTTGGAAGAATCAAACTGATTTACCTACACATCGGCCCTCATCAGCATTATGAGCAAAGTTTGAGCAACACTTCGTATTATTTCTGAAAAAACGAAATATACTTCATTCAATCATGAAATATACAAGTAAAAATAAATTGCTTCTAATATTTACTTACTTATTATCCAAACAAATCGGATTTCCATCTATGACAGCAAGTAATTGGACAATTTTTATGAGGTGAAGAGGTATACATTTTTTAAGCACGATTTTTTCATTCATTTTCAAATTAAATAAATATACGTGTTGAAATCTTCGTATTGACATTTGATAATACGTATGGACTCTATTGTACTGAAAATTTATTTTAAGCAAACTTCCTTCAATAAAGTTTAATGTTCAAAACACTCACTTATATTCTACAATAAATATTATGACAGTGTCTGCACGTGTTCATACCAAACCAAGGATGCTTAGCATATGTTCATGTTTTCTATTTGTGTAGTTTATTAATGCATTTATAATTTAGTTAATGAGTTCGCATATTGATTTACCTATTTATTTTCCATGTTGATTGTATGAAAATTACGGGATAAAAGCTGAAAACCGTTGCAATTATTGTTTCTTAAGGCAATAAGGTAACTAAATCTGCTCAGTTACAAGCTGTCAATCAGCTTAAATCTTCATACATCAACAAAACTCGAAGACCCTTGGCGGAAACCACTTCAGTATCTAATTATAAAACATTGTAAGGAATTTCTAGCTTCTTCAGGAATCAAGATTCTAGAAGTGGTGGTAGAAATTAAACTCCATACTCTAAACTTTATTTTTAATTGTCCAATCAAGGAAACAATGTCAAAAATGAACGATTTATAGTACAACTATACAATATTTGAAAAAAAAAATTTATGTATATAATAAACCCTATGTTTTTGTCAGTGTGTGTTTGGTACTTTGGATGTAGCTTCCTAAATTGAGAAAAACTCCATCTTGCAAGGTTATAAAAATACTTGTTTCAATTAGGAATTACGTTCTAAAGTTATACTGAATTTTGAATTCGACTCAGTAATTGACATTGTAGTCGAAGATATCTTATGTCTTTTCTTTACACAGAATCAAGTGCCTATTGCTAATTTATTGAGACATGTACTAGAATTCTGTACAAGAAAAAAAGATCAATTCATAAAAAAACACCACAATTTTATAAGGAACAAATTATTTAATTGTGCGAAAGATGTAGTGAATAGAATGAAAAATTCATGTATTCTTCACAGGATTTATATTATTGATCACTGTTCGTTATCTTATCTTTTACATTAGTCCTGGTGAGATAATGAACTTTCTTAATCATATGCCAATCGAAATGAAGTATTCACGACGTTATTCTAAGGAAACCACTGGATTTTTTTTGGTGTAAAACTATACGAGAGAAACATTTCTTTTACTTTTATATAATGTGTAACCTACACTGATTTCTGTGTCCATACACATTTTCAGAAAAACCTACCGTTTGTGTATACTTATGTACAAAATAAAAAAAATACCGTTACATTAACTATAGGAAATACTGGAAAACTATGGGAAAATGTGTTGTTTTTTCGCACTTCAAAGCAAACTTTGAAAATACTACAATGGACTTTTTACTTAAATTATAATATATGATAAGTGTATAATATGTAATAACCACAAAATTCTTCCGTCTGGTTTTCAGAAGGGGCATCTCAAAATGACAAAATTTCAAAATTTTCCCGTTTTTAAATTACTTCAAAATATGACAAGTAAGTATTTATACAAAAAAAAAAAAAAAAAAAAAAAAAAAAAAAAAAAAAACTGAGAGATTTTCCAATTCACGAGTTTTAAATCTTCTTTCTTTTATGACACTTTTTATGAACTTCCTTTTAAGAACGTGAGTTTATCATAAAGTAACAAAAACATAATAATGACGTCCATCAATTTATCAGTAAAAATATTTTTAACATCAGTTCTTTGAAATTATAAGTAAATTGTTTTTCCTCTGATTTCTTAATTTTGTTAAGTTTGATAAATTATTTGAAAGCAATTTATTTCAAAAAGTAAATATTCATTACTTCCACTATCCATTACGGTGCGAAGTATTGCGGAATAGAAACCCCAGTCTGCCACCTAAACATTAATTCATTGTTTTTTTTCTCCTCACACATTGTAAATACCGTCCAAACACACGTACTTATGCCGAATTACCCCCATTTTGCACCAACTAATACCCAGTGATCTAACTTCATTAAAGGAAGCTCTTTCTGATACACTATAGTAATGCCACACAACTCAGTTTATCGGTCGTCATTATGTACATATACCATATTAAGCACCCCTGCCGTTAGTTCATCCCTAATGACTGCTGGTTCAGCTGATTTGCTTTCGCATCTTTATTACAGCAATAAACCAAATCTCTAGAATCGTTTTTTCAGCACTTTTTTAACAGGTTGTTGATATTAACAGGAGTTTCAATTTTAATAAACATCAAATCATCATTGTAGTCAGCATGCTGTTTTATACTTGTCATGTGATCTACTTGAACCCGATCATATATCCGGGAACAATAGAGAAAATTAATGAATAGATTCAATAATTGTTTAGATTTAACCTATAGTTTTTTGGAATTCTTCCAAAATAGGGCCAAAATGTACAATGGTAAACCTCATAAAATTCTTACAAGCAAAGATCATTACAAAATTTTATGTAGGTATGAAATAATATTCTACCACATCAAAAGATATATAATTCCTACTATGAGAACTAATCTGTTTTTTGCTGATTCATGCATCAATTTTATGTTCTAACTGGTTTTCAGTTGTACGTTGGCTCGGAGCAACACAATCTCCCTCAAAGTTTATTTCATCATACAGTGTCACATCATAGTTGTCCATAGAGCAGCATTTGATGTCGAAGGTATCTCTGTGAATGTCTGAGGATGAAGGGATGTAAGCAGTGCCATCGTACGCGTCTTCTAGTCCTATGGACATGTTGTATGGGGAGTTGATGTCCTCAATTATTTGTTTGTCTTCAAAAGTAATCGATTTTTGTCTTCTTAAGGTACTCGAACTTCTATATTCTTGGTGTTGTGTCTCAAGAAGCAATGTATTATCATACGTGATATCATTTTGCTGCATACCCCTTACAGGTTTCCTGGTTGGATGTACCACGGCGGTATATATATCTGTAGTTCCACTTTCTTCGTTGTCATCTTAAAAAAAGTAAGTTCTTATCGCTATGATTTCTTACATGTAACAGTCATAAAATAGCAAACACATCTTCAAATAAAAAAGAAAAGGATTGATACAAAATTATGTTTTCTATTTACCATTCGTAGAATTGTTGGCAATTGAAATTTCAGCTGTGATTTTCTTTGTATTCCTTATAAAAAATAATTTTATGAAAAAATACAATAAACTTTAGAATATAATTTGGTGTATTTGGTTTAAAAGTTTCTTATGATGATAAAGAAGAAGGTGTTTTAGCATTATTGTATCCTAAAAATTTTGTTTTCAAAAAGTTTTGAAACTGGCTTAAACATTAGTTGAATATTTGACCGTGATAAATCAGGAAAAAATATGGCACAAAGGAGTACCATTCTGGAAATATGACGTCATTAATTTGTTGCACTTCTCTATGTCAACAGAAAAAGCCTCAAACGACCCATTTCAAGGGTTATTTTCTTCAAGAAAATAGTGTCCACAGCCATCCCCACTTTAATTTTTGGATAAGTTGTGTAAAATTCTTTAAAAAATCACATATCTCAAAATCTTTGTGGACGATGCCTGTGGACAATATTATCTGAAAGAAAATTCCATTGAAAATTGGAGTCATCTGCAACTTTTTAAGAAAATACGGAAAAAATGCACAAGTCTATGACGTCACAATTAGCTTTTAGAAGGTCATGTGGGAAAAAATGATTTGTATGATCTTTCTGCATGAAATTTCAATGATTCAAATATCATAAGTTTTAGTTTTTTTTTTCATCACTTTCATTTTTTAAGAAAAACACAGGGCAAGATTTGTATTGAAACCGTACCTTGTTCTTTGCAAAACAAACAGTCATCATTATCTTACGGAATACCTGTAGGCGATTCCAAGACCTATTACAACCAATGAAACGATAGCAGAAAGTGAAGCGGGTAAGACGAATCGGAAAACCCATTCTAACTCTTCTTGCTTGTTCCTCGGCATTTCTGTGATTTTTGGTGGTCGAAAAAAAAATATTTTCAAAAATATCCTTAAAGTTTAAAAAAATTGTAATTTTTAATACATGTAATAAGAACATTATAAAATCTGTAAACACTGAAACAGGATGAATGGTAATTATACCCCCTGTAGGTGATAGACAGCCCCAAACTTTATCACAAAGGATAGCCTCACAGGAGCATTCTTCATTGCACTGTTTACCGTAATATCCACGTGGACATTCCCTAGTGCAGTTAACACCGAACCGTCCTACACACTCTTCAAACAAATATTTCACATTACCAACACACAAAGGGACCTCATAATTTGAGTGAAAGTTAACATAAACTTTATCTATAAATAAAGTTAAGGTAAAGATCATAAAGGTATTGAATCACATCAATAAAGATTTTAAGATACAAATCTTTGAGATAAGTAATTAAAATATGAACAATATATGTTTACTTCAATTGTTATATTCAAATACAAAAAAACAACAACATATTGTTATTTCGTTCAAACTTATTTTTACCCTTGCATCTATCTTCATCCAACAAATAGATGTAGTTTGCACAGCAATAAGTAACATTCCTGAAAAACAGAAATCTTGGTAATTCCCCAAAATGGCAGTATTCTATTTTAGCTTTTAAAAGTTACTTAACAGTTTAACAGTTTCCATTTCATGTACATATCTTTTATATATCACTTACTGTTTATGGTAACAGACACCATCTGTATCATTCTGTTTACCTGAGTGTGAAGAGAAATGTAAATTACACCTGATACATGTAAATTACAAATTCATTGTGTGTATGTGTGTGTGTTTTTCTGAGAGAGAGAGAGAGAGAGAGAGAACTTACCTCCAAGACAGCCCATAATTGTGACAAGTCTCACTAGAACAGATACAATCACTGTCACATAAAATTCCATACTATCTGGACATTCTGTTGAACAATTCATTCACTGCTATGAGAATATAAAGAAAAAAAAAATAAAGTGAATTTTCATTCATTTTTCATCATTACACAGTCATGAAACATTGACGGGATCGATTAAAAATTATTAGATATTTTGCTGAGAATTCATTACAAATTATTTGTTTTTTATCTTCTTTTCAATTTGTAAACCCTTTATTCACAATACCTTTTTGCTTAAATGGAAGAATCATATTAAGCTACTTATACATCGGTCATCAAAGCATTATATGGTAGCATTGTATGGTAGTTTGAACAACGTTTTGATTTATTTTTAAATATATAAAATCCCTTTCAAACATAATAGAGATTTATTAAGAAAGTACTTACTCATAAAAAAAATCCATTTCATTACATGGCAGCATAAAAATGAAGTTTCCATTAAATACAGTTGTTTAATTTTTCTCCTGCATTTCTCAATCATTTTCAAGTGCATGAAAAATATTCTGTAATACTTATATTATCATTTGATCATACACTTAAAATATGAACTTTGTGGCTCTACGGAAACTTCCTTCATATAACGTCAATATGAAAAACACTCAAGTGTATTTCACGTTAAATACCATGAAGTTATGTACATTTATTCATAATTAATTAAGCATTTAATTTATAAAAACAAAGATTTTGAGTATATTTTAACACGCATTTTATAAATATTTATAATATTTTGACTTCAGTCATTGGAAAATGTCAATATTACAAGATAACTAGAAAAGATTATTATTTTGAACATTTTTCTAACTGCTAGAGCTATTTAGTCTGATTTGAACAGGTTACTGCATGAACGTCTAAAACTTTGAGCCCTTATTGTGCCCAGACCCTAGTTCCAAGGGGTAATAATTTGAAGATATTTACACATGTACATGGAAATGTTGTATTTCATACGCCTAAACGTGCCAAAGCTGCTTTTCACAAGAAGATTTTAAAAGGCGTTCTTTTTCAAATATTACTGAATATTTCTATGAAATTATTACATGATAAGTTAACTCTGAAGTGGGGTCCCAACCTAGCTTGGTCATGATTGGGGAAAAAAAACTTTTGAAGTTACACTGTATGAAGAAGATTGAATCACAAGATTATTGACTGTTGTCTTGCTATTCTTGCATGGGAAGAAGAGTTTTAAAGGTTTTGTAAAAATGATATATATTAGGGATGTCAACGAGTACCCTGTTGACCGGGTACTCGATCGAACGTCCGAGTATCGAATACTAAAAATGGTACTCAGTTACTCGGATGTGTATTTTTTTCTTATTTTAAAGTACATATTTTTATCTAAAACTTACCAAAAAAATAATAATTTAAATATGCATACGGGTAATTAGCGCGTCGTCGTCTACACATGTAAACACCCGTTATCGCCTCTGACTGTGTATATACAGTAATTACTGACCAATCATCTTGTACACAGCAGTTCTCACCTATTGTGGTCTTTAGTTTTTTGATGGCTTCAATGATAGCTTTTCAGTGTACATCGTTTAATTAATATGGTCTATTATCTTCAAATCATTTTTATATTATTAGGTAATATACGGCAGCGAAATGGACGTGCATAGAAATGCCGCTACCCACTTAAAAAAACTAAAGATTTAAAAAAAGTCAGTTTCCATAGTGTTTTAGTGTATACGGGGGAAACTACGAAAGCCGGATAGGCTCATTTTTGACAAGACAAAAAAAATATTTAACTCGTTATAACGAGATAATTATCTCGTAATAACGAGTTAGTATCTCGTTATAACGAGTTAGTATCTCGCTATAACAAGTTAATATCTCGCTATAACGAGTTAGTTATCTCGTTATAACGAGTTAGTTATCTCGTTATAACGAGAAAATTATCTCGTTATAACGAGTTAGTATCTCGTTATAACGAGTTAGTTATCTCGTTATAACGAGTTAGTTATCTCGTTATAACGAGTTAGTATTTCGTTATAACGAGTTAGTATCTCGTTATAACGAGTTAGTTATCTCGTTATAACGAGTTAGTTATCTCGTTATAACGAGTTAGTATTTCGTTATAACGAGTTAGTATCTCGTTATAACGAGTTAGTTATCTCGCTATAACGAGATAATTATCTCGTTATAACGAGATACTAACTCGTTATAACGAGATAATTTTCTCGTTATAACGAGTTAGTTATCTCGTTATAACGAGTTAGTATCTCGTTATAACGAGTTAGTTATCTCGTTATAACGAGATAATTATCTCGTTATAACGAGATAATTATCTCGTTATAACGAGATAAAAATTGATCTAGAATTGATATATTTAAGTAAAGAATAGACCATTATTTATAGGAAATATACAGAAGCAAGTCGATCAAATTTGTTTGAAGTGTGCGTGATAAAGATTCTACGGAACAGCATACTAGTTTTTTTTGTGTTATGCCTTTGATTAGTATTGTTTATTGGAAAGACCGAAGACAAATATACGGAAACTTGTGACCGCCTCATGTTGTTGTGTTATACCTTAAAATTGCAAAATAAAATTAGTGTCATCTTCAAATGGAATGTATATAAGATCAAAATTTTGTCAACTTGTACAAGGAGATAAGAAAAAAATGATATACTCTGGCTGATTTAACTGCCCTGTTCAAGCTTTCTTGAATTTGTTAAAATTATAATAATGTTTGCGTAATATTTGTCGCAATAAAAAATGCATAGAAATAATCCCATTATTTTGAATATTCCGAATAAATCATGTGGATATGAAACCATTTGTTAGGCTTTAAAGATCATATTTTGATAATTCCTTGCCTGTTAACAAGGAATACCAGTTCAATTTTATCTTCTTAAAGGGGCAAGATCAAAATTCAATGTCTGACAAAAAACTAAATTCACGTTGTTTTTATCATCAATCCCTCCTTCCCCTCAATAATAAATATGATGAATATCAAGAACTAATACTGTACTTATCACTTAATAATTTATATATTTCTTCTGTTTATTAAAAGAAAGAAACATTTTAATTTACCAATTTGGCATGGAATTTTAAATTACAATATGTAATTTTTGCGTTATTATCAATGTGGTAGAATTAAAAAAAACTTTTGGAGCTCTTT